CAGGCAGTCCAGTGCACATGTGACAATGCACAGTGGGAGGGGGCTGGCTCCCTCATCAGGGTGGTGGAAGCAGAGGATAATCTCCTCAGAGGTGATCAGCTGGGTTCCATGACAGTAGGGTTCACAGCTCTAAGGAGGAGCTGGCAGGACAAAGATAGGACTCAGGAAGGAGCCAGGCCCTCAGTACCTGAGTGACAGGTGGCATTGAGTGTTGGGAATGGTAACTAAGAGTGAGGCCACATCAGGGTGGAGGCAGCAAGAAGGCATGTTGGGTAGGGAGACCTGGGTCTTGCTTGTTGTCTGGGCCATGAGCTGCATGACTCATAAGAACCATGATGGGTGCTGCTGGGTGCTGCTGGGTGCTGCTCAGCTCCCAGGCCGCACCACACAGGTGGAGGAGTGATGCTTCAGACCCTGCCAATGTGTGTACCGCGTGTGTCAGCTAGCTGAATGCACAGGTAAGTTCCAGACTCTGTCCTGTGCTAGGAAGCATGCATACCTAGGGTGAGCGTTCTCACGCTTCTGGCCCAGGTCCTCTAGGACAAGGGACACCTGGTTGCCTTGGAAGCCTCAGCTGTGCTTTCAACCCCTCTGGGCCAGAGGGGTCCCAGATGCTACCCATGCTATAGAGCCTTGAGTGTCTGGTGAGAGAATGGATAGGGGAGCATTAGGTCTCCCATCAGGAGTCTGTGTTTCTCTGGAGCCTGCCTCTGGATGAGGGAGACAGGAGCCACGTGCCCTCTGAACTTATCTCACGGACCATCATCTTCCGGTCGTCTTGCTCCTTACTCTCAGACATCAAACTGAAACAAACAATGGCACCTCCCCTAGGAAACTTCAAATGAAGTTACTTCCTTATTCCTCACAGTGACCCTGGGGCACATCATACACCACACTCCCAACACATACTCCAGGTAGTTCAAGTGAAGTGACTTCCTCATTCCTCACAGTGACCCTGGGGCACATCGTTATTCCATTTTACAGATCAGGAAACTTAAGCAGAGAGATCACGAATCACCCCTAAAGCAGTCTGGAAAGGAGCTGGTTCTTGAGCCTAAGTCCTCCACATAGCCTGATGTTCTGCCTGGCACCATCCAGATGCTTAGCAGCTAGTTCTTCAGTGAACACAGGGAACCTGTCTTCCTTTCCAGTCCCCACTGGAATAGCCACCCTGAGACAGGAGAGACGGCTCAGCAGTTAAGGTCTTCCAGAGGACCGGAGTTCCTGGCACCCGTGTCAAGAGGCTCACAACCACCTGTAGCTCCAGTTCCAGGGGCTCTAACGCTCTCTTCTGTCCATCCACACACATAACACCCACCACCCACCCACTCATGCTCACAAATGAAAATTCAAAATTAATCTTAAAAAAAAAAAAAAACTACCCTGACTAGCCTTTACTTCCAGGATTTCTTAAGAGCTGTAAAAAGCAAGCAAGAGGATGTTTCCAGAAAATAACATAGTCCCATAAGCAGCCCTTCTGCCTTTCTAGCTCATTGAGTTGGAGGAGCCAGCCAAGGCCTCTTTCTGCCTGCACTCATTAGTCAATTCCGCTGTGCCCAGTGGCTCCCTGGTGGAGGAGCTCATGCTGGTGTTTTCAGTAAATGAGGCACATTTGGCTTTAATTACGTGCATGGTGTAAAAACAAGAGCACCATTGTTATTGCTATGTTTTTGTTTTCTTTTCAAAGCACTTTACCTTTTACCATTTACCGGCCTATAATGGACCCAATAAGTACTGGGTGTGTGGATGGAGTGATGCTTGAGTATGAATGGATGGATAGATAGGTGGATGGAGAGGTAGGTGGACAAATAGATGCATGGGGGCGTAAATGAGTAGTTGGATGGGTGGATGGATGGATGGATGGATGGTCGGGTGGGTAAATAGAGAATAGATGGATGGATGGATGGATGGATGGATGAGTGGATGGTATGATGTATTGGTAGGTGGATGGGCAGGGTCTGTATCAGTAGATGAATAGATTAGTAGGTGGGTAGATATGTGAATGGATGGGTGGTGTGGGAGGATATCTCTCATAGCCTTCTTGAGCTGGTGACTGACTCTGTGCTTTGGGATATGGACATTAAAAGTACAGTCACAGGATACCCTGCAGACCCTGACCTTCCTTGGTCCTACCCCTGACAGCATCCCAGTGAAAGGACCCTGGAGGACACCATTCTATATGACAGTAAAATGAATAAAAGCATCTCCCTTTCTCAAGCATTTCTCCGATTCTGAGATAAGCACATTCATAGGTCTGGGATCCTCAGAAACTGTGCTAAGTACAGTCATTTCAGCAGGAAATGGCCCAGGGTCACATGGTTTGTAAAGACTGACTCCATGAACCTGGCATGGGGCTCACACCTTTAATCCCAGAACTCTAGGAACAGAGACAGGTAGATCACTGTGAGTTCCAGGCCAGCCTGGTCTACAGAGTGAGTTCTAAGACAGCCAGGGCTACACAGAGAAACCCTCTCTCAAAAAACCAATCCTCTGTACCCCCCAAAAATCCTAACTCCATGATCTGAGCATGCTGTAATTCAACAGTCACATACTAGCTTGCACTGGTTCTTCTTGGAACCTTTTCTTAATCTGGGAGTCCCATGGTCAGAATGGCAGGGACATGTCACCATGGGATTCTGAAAGCTGATTCCAACATCATAGTCTGCACCCCATAGGAACATCATGAAGCTTTTCTTTCCTGTGGACTGTAACTTTAATTTTTTCAAAACCTATTTTTAATGTTCTTAATAAATGCTTTAACCTTTGTGTTATTCCACCACTCACCAGAGGTAGTGGAAAAGAAAGGATACAGGGGAAATGGACCTGTTTAGAAAGGTTCTTTGAAGCAACTGTCATCTGTGTTGTCTGGGAATCGGCAGTTCAGTTCACAGGTCAGCAGCAGCAGCTCGATCTACTCGCAAACACTTCACAGATACACCAGCAGTTCAGTTCAGTAGAGTCGGGATAGGAAACAGGAATCAGCAGTGATGACACTATCGACAGCCAGGCCTCAGCCTTGGCTCAAGTCAGCAGGAGAGACCAGGAGGAATTCGAGGAGAAGTTCTCTGCTGTGCCTCTCTCAGCAAAGCAATGATCAGCAAAGACTCAAGACCCACAAGTGTTGCACAGTTAGCTCTATAAGCAAGCCAAGCTCAGCCTCTGTCACTGTCCAAGTCCTTTTTATACTCACTCCAAGCATTACATGTCCTCCATGGGTCTTGCCTCAGCACGTGTAGCTGACATAATTCTTCCAGTCAGCCTGAGTCCAAGGAAGCAGAAAGAAGTGGTAACCAGAAGGTTTTCTTGGTGCGTTTCTCTCTATGGAGTCCTGACAAATTCAGCTCAACTACACAATGTAAGGGGCACTAATACGTGCGTATCGCTAGCAAAGAATCCTTCATCACATGTCCTTTCATGTGCTTGCCTTAGCAGAACATCCTCTCACCTGTGTCTCCTTCAGCTAAACATTCCTTCATGCATTTGCCCCAGCAAAACACCACCCAACAGACTTTCCAAAGGACCCTTAAGTTTCCACTTTAGTGGACACTGACCAGGACACATTGCAGGGAACTGATAACAGTCTAGGTTCACATACTAGGGGCTTGGGGAGTGTGAACTCACTGGAGGCCTGCTGGAGGCTGTATGAGCTTCAGGCATGCATGAGCAACAGGCAAGGCTGCTGTGGCTATATAGAGTGGCTGGCCATAAAGAAAAACCCTACTGGATACATTTAACACATCTAACCAAATAGGTATCCCAGTTCAGCCTTTCCTTCTTTGTCAGGCTGAGCTGGGCAGAAGCACAACCTATTTTATGATAAACTGTTAACTAGTTCATGTCATTTATTGACTGTGTATGCCCTCCTCCAGCTCCTCAGAACATATACAAAAAATGCTGCCTGCAAACCCGCTGTAGAAGCTATGTCAATTCTCTCAGGATGCTGTGGCCAATGGCTGTACCTCACTGCTCAGCATTGTGAGAGGATCACATGTCACTATCTGGAAAGAACTCAATTCAATTTTAGAGTGTGGTTTCCACTGCAAGCATCATCTTTCCATCATTCTAAAATTGCAAAATTCCAAGTTGAGTTGAGGGCCATCTGCAAATACACACACACACACACACACACACACAAACATGCACTTACATATGCATGGACATACGGACATGCACATGTGCACACACATACATATTTCTATTTAGGACACAGAAGGAGGTGGATAACTTGCTCCCAAAATTAGAGCACCAGAGTGAGTGTTTGCCCTTTGGCATCCTGCCCACCCCTTCCTCCCTTCTCTGTATCAGCAGAGAGTTCATCTGAGTGAGCACCTGGATCAGCACAACACACCAGGAGCCCAGTGGGGCAACCTTAACAACATGGATGTGGATATGTGCGGGGGTGAGGTCTGCAGAGAGGCGAGAGAGCTGCCTGTTTGTTCCTCTGCCTGGCTACTGAACACTGAGATTTGAGATGTGATGACTTGGAAACAAATAAAAGGATTATAGGACTAAAAATCACTCACCCGTACAGTCTGTACCTTTGGGAAAGGCCAGGCTGAGCACAGAGTGAGGGTGAAGGACTGCCTTCCATTTGTCTTGCCCCTTGAAATGACCCTGTGGGTGTTGGAGACAGGGGGGTGTCTGAGGCCACCATTTCTAGGGCTTCTTTGTTGGTGGTAGCGTGTCTCTTCCTGAATAACAGGGCCTTTGGAACTGCATGAGATGGGATGCACAGCTTCCAGGGTGGCCTGAAAACTGAGCCCCAACATTTAGGCAGGACTGCCAGCCTGTTAACCACCCCATTCTGCCTACATTAAGGGAAGGTAAAAATCCTGTGAACACCCCTGAGTTGTAGCAGACTCCCACCTGACCCCAGTTGCTGCACTGTCCACAGTTCACTTTCCTTGGAACTGGGCCCGGGCACTCAGGCCTGCGTCTTCTGCCCTTCCTGTACCAGCAAGCACCTCACCTCTCACCCTTGTTCTTGGCCCTTCATGCAGGTAGCAAGGTGGGAGCAGAGAACTCGCAAGTTGAGCAGAGCCTTCGGGTCCCCCTACCTAGCCTGCTATTCCCTGGGCAGCATCATCCTGCTTCTGAACATCCTCCGCTCCCACTGGTAAGCCCTGGGCCACCATGAGGCTGTTGTCTGTGTGGAAGTCATGGTCAGGAGAGGGAGGGCCAGCAGGTTCACCAGTGTTTGGGAGTTCTGTATCAGAATGTTCCTAGAGGCCTCAGGCTATTGTCCCAGATCTCTGTTGGCAGAGACATCCTTGTGATATTGGATGTGACATTTCACTGTCCAGTGATAGGGACAGCTTGAGCAGAGGGGACAGAAACTGTTGAAATTTCCCCTTGCCTATATCCCCAGAACTCCTTCTACAATATACCAAGACAGGACATAGACACTCTGGCAAAGATTCCTTAGGGACCAGGAATCATGCTTAGACCATCATTAAGAAGCTTGGGCTTGGGACATATTTCCTTCCTGCCATCAAAGAAAATGGCCAGAGCAGCCGTTGGTGGTGTAAGTGATGAGGGTGGGAAGCAGAGCTCTGAGTGGGCCCAGCGGAGCTGAGCACTGCACCGTGGAGTCTCAGGCTGTGCAGGAGGGTAGTGGGATCTGTTTTTCAGATGTGGTTCAAGACTTACATGGCTGCTGTGAGCCTCGGGTCCACTTCTCATCCCCTGGCTTTCACCACAGGCCTGTGTACACACAGGCTGCAGGAAGCCTGCACACTCCTTTAGGAAATAAGAAGGTGGTGTGAGGAGTCCTCATTCCTGACTTGCTGCTGCAATTTAGAAATTGAGAGTACTGAGAAGATACTCTGTGTGGACCGATCGCTGAGGCGAGTCCTCTGGATAGGGTGTGCACACCTGACCTGTCCACTCCACTTATCCTGGCTTAGCTCTGTGGGAGCAGGATGCACCATGAGGTGGCCATCTAGTTATCTGATGTCTGGTGTATGGGAAGCCAGGCAGGAATAGGAGTGGTGGGCCCAGATCTCTCATACTCCCATTTTGAAAGCATTTGAAAAAAAAAAAAAAACAAACAAAAAAAGAAAGCATTTGGCCCAAGCTTCCCCATGGCAGGACACCCTGACTGAAGACTCTTGTGGCTTCTTTCCCTTTCCTGTGGGCTAGGAGTGTGGAGTAGGGCAAGGATCTCACTCAGCTTGTCTGTGCTAGAACCTTGCCTATGCCTCCTGACCCTGAAGGCTTAGGCTTCCCAGAATCTCCAGGCTGGACAAGTACTACAAAGGTTGTCATCCTTGGAGGGGGTGGATCCTATGACACATATCCTGGGTTGGCTGGCATATGAAGACTCTTCTGTAGGGTGGCCTCATCCATCCCCACAACAGGGTAAAAGTGTGGCTTAAGGCTGCCCCTTGGATTTCCTCCATTCTGCTCACCATTCTCCAACATGATGAAGTCGGTCTGGTCTGGGAATGCCGTCTCTATGAGCTTGGTCAATCAGCTATTCCCTTCCTAGCTCCTTCAGAAATGAGTGCCACTAGGTACCTGGCAGAAAGGCATCTTCACGCTCCTCAGACAACCTAGAGAGCCCATATACATTCTAACTTGGATACTGCTAAGTCAGAGGCTGTTCCCCTGCCCAGATGTTTTCAGCCTGGAAACCTTAGAGGGTCACCTCAGCTCTTACTCCACCCAGCTCTGCCCATCCCCAGTGCCCTGTCTGCCCCTCAGCTGCAAGAAGTCCCTCCTTAGGACAATTCTCACTTGGTCCTATAGGGTCTCAGCCCTCATTCAGTCCTTTTGTGGGGTCTGTACTTAAATGTCTTTGTTAGGATAAGGTCTCCTGACAGACCAAAATCAACCCAGTCTGACACACCAGCTTCAAGCCTGGCTGGTCTCTTGACTTCTCTGCTCTCTAAAATCTCCCATCTGTAGACAGGTCGTCTAATTGCTCTGGGCTCTGCTTGGCTTCATAAACCTCAAACTTTGGTTTGTTTTGTTTGTTGTTTTTGGCCAGGGTCTCACTCTGTAGCCCAGGCCATCTGGAACTTGCTTTATAAACCAGGCTGGCTCTGAGTTTGTAGCAATCCCTCCTGAGTGCCGGGTTAGAGGCGTGAGCAACGTGTCAGGCTCCCTTGCCTCACTCTGAGGCCTCAGCCAGGCTTCAGATGGAGTCTGTTTTCCTTTCCATAATGCAAGACCCCTAGGGGAGAGGCTACTGGGGTCAGAGATACAGGCCTGCTACTGCCCTGCAGAGCAGGAGCCTGGCAGAATCCCTTCCCAGCAGGCCTCATTCACCAGTGGTTCAACAAGGCCCTTTCTGCTGCTTCCTCTGCAGCTACAGATGCTGAGGAACACCCCAGCAGCATCTGGAAAGCTGGAGAGCAGGGGCCCTGGAGAAGTGGGATGGACACTGGTTAGAAATGCAGAGTGGGCAGACCCTGGGGCTTCTGGGATCTACTTCCTGTGTCTTGGTCATGGGAGCAGCCTCAGAATGTGGGTAATCATAGTATCCTCACCAGATAGCAGCCAAGGACTTAATGTGGCCCACTGCATAAGGATAGTTCGGGAAGCACTGGGCCTCTACACATTTTCAAGGTTTAGTTCAGTGACTTTAAACAGTTCTGTGATGTTTTATAGTGGTAACCACCACCTATCTCCAGAACCCTTTTTATTTTACAAAGCTGAAACTCTACACCTTTTAAGCACTGGCCCCCTCCTGTGGGCTGGCTCTGGTTTCCCACTCTGCTTCTCAACATCTTGGAGCTTTATGTAGGAGGAGTCAGGGTGTGTGGACCAGTTTACTGTACTCAGCACAATGACCTCATGCGGGAGCGTGAGTCAGAACTTTCTCCTTCCTGAGACTGTGTAACGTTCTGCCATGTGGGTTAAGCCAGTTCTGCCCATCCGTTCATTGATGACACTTGCAGCTCCTGTGAGAAGTGCAGCTGTGGGCATGGAGTGCCAGTATCTGAGTATCTTCTTAGTTACTTCAAGAGTGATCCTAGGAGTGAATGTTTGCACCCACAGGGTTACTGTTCATGTTTTAGGGACCTGTCAGGCTGTTCCCTACAGTGGTTGCTCTACTCTGCATCCCACCAGCAGCTCGAGAGTAATCCAGTTTCTCTACACTCCTGCCAGCACTGAGCTCCCTGACTTTTTGACAGTAGCCATCATGATAGAAGGGTAGCATTTTGCTTTGGCGGATATAGGAAGGTGTTCTAAGCATCCCTGGCTGAAGAGCCTTCTGGATTCTAGTTTGAATCAAAGCCAACCTGGGGAAAGTCCCTGGTCAGCTTCAGCTCTGTCCCTTAATGCTGGTGACCCTGAGCAGGTTACCTCCATGAGCTTCGACTTCCTCCTCTGAAATGGATTGGTAGCCACTTCCAGGAGGTTGTCGGTGGGAAAGCAGGAGCCAGGGTGGGCACGTTGGCATGGGTGCCTGGCAGGAGGGTGAGGCCACCACGGGAGAGAGGTCATTGGGTTGTACAGTGAGACAAGCATGATGGTCCCTGTCTGTTGCACCAGCTCCCTGAGAGGCTGAGACAGGACTAATGATTGAACCCAGGAGGTCAAAGCCAGCTTGAGTCACATAGAAAAGTATCTTCTAGCTGGTACACGGACCCCCAGCAAGAGCAGGTGAGGGTGCTTCTGTGCCTGGACTAGACACCTTCTTAAGCACTGGACTGCAGCAGAGGGCTAGAAAGACCCTGTCTTTTGGTCCCCTGGCTATACCCTTTCTAATCTAGTCCCTACTTAGTATCTCTCAGTAGCCCACATATAGGTGTGTGTTCTGTGTTGATGTTCAAGTTCACACACGCTAAGATCTAGTACAAAATTTGGTGACACTTGGTGGATCCCAGCCTTGTGCACACACACACACACCCGTTGTCTGGTCCTTTAACATTTTCTTCATCCTATATGATAGCCCTACGCCTGTGAGGTGGTACCACCTCCCACCATCCTCTGCAATACCACCTACTCAGTCTGCTGAGCTCAGCCTAGTGCCTGTTTCTGTTTGTGGTCCTGGAGACCAAGCCCAGGCATCATACTGCTAGGCGAGTGCTACACTGTTGGGCCACAGGCCAACCATTGTTCTGGAGGCTTTGTCCTTGTCACCTGGGGTGATATGACCCCAGATGGTATGTGTCCTACTGAGTCAAGCATGGTAGGAGAACACGTGTGCTCGAGCCAGTCTATCTTCTTGTGAGGCCAGGGCTCCCTAGTAGTTGGCAAGTCCCTAGGACTCACGATGTGTCAGCTGGCCTGCACTAGCTGGTGGTCTGGAAAGAGAGCAGGCAAGATAAGCTAACTTGTTATTTGGAGGTTAAGGCAAAGTCTAGACTCAACGAAGTGCTTAGGAAAGCACTGTTTGCTCTTGTAGTGCTCTGGCTGAGCCTCGAGTGAGGAGGGAGCCTGATGGCTTGGGAGGCATCCATTGAAACCCCTTCCCCAGCACCCCCAGCCCTTACCTGCAGCCAGCCTCAGCTGCAGCCCACTCACGGGCCACAGACGAAAGAAACGCCTGGGCACAGTGTGAATGACTAGGGTCACTGGACACTAGGGAGCCACTGGAACCTTGTCTCCCTGTTGTCTCTTAGTGGAGATCCCTGATCATGGCTGGAGAGTCAGAGAGGAAATCTGAGTTGTGTTTTCTTGATCCCAGAGAGGAAGGAGTGAGGACAGCTGGAATAGTACCCAGGTAGAACTGTATCTGTCCTCTCAGCTGAGACCCCCAACACAGCCTGGACTTCTGAGTGTCAGTGGTGTGCAACTCCTTTCACATGACGAGGCTGAGGACCTGCTTGCTCACAGGGCAGAAGCAGGACCAACTAGTGGCCTGACTCCTACCCACACTGCTGCCTCTCCTCTCCGGTGTATGAGACCCTTGGGATGCTGCTGGGCTTAGGGAAACTTTGAGAAAGTGCTTTGGTTAGTGCACTGTGGTAGCCATGGATTCCAGCCCTTGCTAAGGAACGCGGCTGAGGTGATGGTTTACTGTGCTCTGTGTTAATAAGCCCACCAGATGCCTATTTTCCTGATCTTACCTGACTGGGCTGGACTGTGAAGAGAAGCCTGAGCAGGGAGAATTCAGGCCACTCTAGTTCTGGCTGTCTGCAGATGCAGCCCACTGGTGAAGCCGTGGAAGCACAGGGGCAGGACAGCCTCCCTCTAGCTGTGTATGCCCAAGTGGCCATGGTCTGGTGTGAGGAGCAGAGTACAGGCAGCCTCTAGTCTCGTTGTGGATGGAAAGTTCAATCCAATTTAAAACATAGAACTCAAGGGGCTGGAGAGATTGCTCAGTGACTAACAGCACTTGTTATTCTTCTAGAGGACTCAAATTCAGTTCCCAGCCTCCGCATGGTGATTTGTGACCATCTGTAACTCCAGTTCCAGGGGATATGACTTCTGGCTTCCATAGGCACCAGGCAGACAAGTGGTGCACAGACAAGACACTGATACACATAAAAATTAAATGAGAAAACAAAACCCAAAGCCCAGGATGAATCTCTATCCCTGATACCCCAGTGTAGAGTAGCTCTGAGGAAAAATTGCTGGTTATCCTACTTTGCTGTGGAGTGTGGGGCCCCACAGCAACTTGCTTCCTGTTAATTCTTCCTGTGGAATGGACTATGTTTTTATGGCATATGAAAGCATGTAACCAGCCAACTAATCAGGCATCAGTTTTAGTGAGCCTCTGTGTCATGTGGTTTGTAGGCCACTAAGCTAGAATGAGACACACTTCCCACTCTCTACCACCTACACACACACACACACACACACACACACGCCATCTCGGCAGGTTGGAGCAAATAACTCATGGTGCATTTTGCCTTTATGCCCTACTCCTAGCACACCCACTGGAGGAAAGTCCACCAGTGATACAGACAGAGCCAGGGGTTGACCATCCTTAGGCACAGGGGCAGGACTGAGTCTTTGAGATGTCTGCTATGGGCTCCAGACCTTGTCTGCAATCTCCTTTCTTCCCAGCTAGGCCAGAAGTCACTGGCAGGAAGGTCGTTTCCAGCAGTCTCCCTCCAGAGAGACCTCAGTCTGTGGGCCCTCTGCTCTCTACTGTGTACATACCAGTTGTGCAGCCCCTTCCAAACACCTCTTGTACTGCACTTTTTCTGAGCCTTAAGGTGCCTAGCTCTAGTCATTCCTCATTCTGGAGCAGTCTTTCTGGTATGTCCCCACCACGTAAGTTCTTCCCTCGGTTCTCAGCTAAAGTTTCTGGTAGCTGGCATCTCTTGTGCGGCCACTGATGATGTCTCTGAGAACTCAAGACAGGTGGCCAGAAAGAGACCCTCAGGCCCTCTGTCCTCTATATAGGTAGATGGAGCTAGAGGCTACTAGGCCATTGAAGCCACCCAACCTGTTGAAGAACCAACCCAGTTCTCTGTGCCATGGGCCCTTATGCAGTGTAGCCAAGAAGCAGGTATCTGTAGGTAGCCTGCACGGCCTTTGACCTCCCTTCTCTCTCATCTACCTCCTGGCATGTGCCGAGAACCAACATCAGTTTCCAAGAGCTGAACATCAGATTGGTAGGAAGAATTCCAAGGAGGCAGAGTTTAGTGTAATCCAGAAATAGAATTACAGCACCCACCTTCTCCAGTGATGAGCGTGTTCTGCAGGAAGAGACAAAGCTTCTGGGTGAAGGCAGATGGTTACACGGGTAGATGGATAAGTAGGTGTCTGGGTCTCTAGTAACTAGGTCAAAGGATGGAAGGAGAAGGGCAGGTGGATGTGTTGATGGGCATGTGTATGGATTGAGGAAGGGCTGAATGGATAGAGATGGGTAGGTGGGTGGATAAAGAGATGGATGGACAGACAGGTGGGTGGGGAGATGGTTGGGTGGATGGATAGGTGGATGGGCAGATGGGTGGGTGGATCAGTGGGCTGGAGGAACCTGTAGAGAGAAGTCTATGTAGTGGCAGTGTGTGAGTAGCAAATCCCCATGTCTCCTGTAAGCATTGTGATTGTGGACAGAATAGAAATGGACTTGTATACAAGTGCTGGCCTTACACATCCTCCTTGTGGCGCCCCTGGCACATTCAGTGCTTTCGCCTGTCACTGGCCACTCCCTCCTTGTGAGGCCCAGATCCATTACCAGCCTGTTTCCCTGAACCTCCACCCTCTTCTGTGCTGGGTGCCAGAGAACCTGCCCCTCCATGCCCACTGATGCTGCCGTTGCTCAGTCTCTCTGCTCAGACTCAGGGCCTGCCAGCACTTGGTCACAGACCTAGTTGGGGGAGGATATAAAGGGCCTTTGATGGGATTTAAAACTTAAGTTTCCCAGGTGTGACTTGGCCTGCGCAGGAGCCAGGGCAAGCAAATCAGCAGTGTGGGGCACAGCCAGCATCGGGCCTGGGTCTGCAGGAATGAATGGTGCTCATCACCGCACATGAGATACGCCAAACTCAGATCTAAGTGTTGGGCCTGCTGCCTGCCCTGCCCTGCACAAGCCGGGCCAGACCCCGGGTGCTAGGCTTGCTGTGTACCATGTGCTACACATGTATCTGTTCTTCTATGAGCTTAATTCTCATTCATAGTGCAAGTTGACAGGACCTGAATATGATGATCCTCGGACTGAACACTGCTAACATGCATGAAGCCATAAATGGCTTTCATGAGTGGCCTATTTCTAAAATTTAGGACAATTTGCATAAATATCAGAATTTGTAACTTCTTGTTGAAAAGATTAACAACTCTGGTCAGCTTGGGCCTTTGGTCTTACCCTATTCTCATGACACTGAAGATTAAACAGTTCACACAGGAACCTAGGCCCTACCTGCAGTGCCTCTGTGGCTATTGAGCATATGACCCTGGGGCTGACAACTCTAAGAAAGGCAGTGCACATACCGTACATGCTATGACATGCTGTCTCTCCGTGTCTCCTGCTCCACAGCTTCACACAGGCCATGATGAGCCAGCCCAAGATGGAGAGCCTGGATAACCACGCCACCTACTTCCTGGGCCTTGCACTCCTGGGCTGGGGACTCGTGTTTGTGCTGTCCAGCTTCTATGCACTGGGGTTCACTGGGACCTTTCTAGGTAAGACCCTGAGGTATGGGATGACCTTAGGCAGGTACACTGGGGTTCAGGGAGGAGCAGAGTCCAGTGGTTGCTGGCTACTATCTCTGATGTGCCTCAAGAAGCACTAGGGGGCCCCACCTGTCATGGTTAGGGCTTTCAGCTTTGGTAGCTCAGTAGACTCCAGGGTATCAAGCTGCTTCCTATGAGACAAGAATAGACCCTCGTCCTGGTTGATGGGCCCCAGAGTGCCGTCCTAGACTCAGCTCCCCCTGAAGAAGGCCCTCAGTCCTTGTCTGTATGGAAGGGGAGGGAGGTAGTAAGATGCTCAGGTATACAGGGTTCACAGAGTACAGCTGGGACTGGGAGAGGGGCAGACAGGGCTAAGACCCTCTACCTCATTGCCACTCTTGGGTAGCACACTTGGCTACCAGGTGGTAGGATCTTGGCTCTGTTATCCACAGGCAAAGCTTGCACAGGTCTAGGGTAGAGTGAAAGGTAGACGTGGATGTGGTCTCTTCTCCATCCTTCACTCTGTGAGGCTCTGGTGCTTTGGGTCTGGGAACCCAAAGTGGTCTAGTCTGGCCAGAAACCTTCTCACCTTATGACTATAGTGATTTCCATCATCTTGAAAGCAGAGGGGGCAAGCTCAAGACAGACTCTGCAGAGGAGGCTGAGGGTAAGGGGCCTTCAGAACACAGATGCATGGAAGGGGGCAGCCCCATCTCCTAAGGTGCCTGTTCCAGCTCCCAGGATGTCGTTGGAGCTAAGGACAAAAGACCTGGCTCTGAACATGGGACACCAGATTTGGCCCTTCCTAGCTTCTTATTATGCAAAGACTAAGCCAATCCCTGGGCCTTAACCTCCACCAGGGCCTCTTGGTCTTCTCCTGCTGTCTCCTAGCCTCCCAGGACATATATATTGGCCTGGCCTCTGCCTGGGCCAGGCTGCCCAGCAGCAGACATGGAGCTCTGAAGTGTGCTTAGGAGAGACAGTGTCATGAGGAACCAAGGAGCACATGAGCCAGAGGCATCCCAGTGCTGTCACTGATGGCTCAGTGATTGCTCAGGCAGGAGCTGCTGGGAGCCATCCTGGGAGAAAGTGAGGCCAGCCTGGTGACAGGGATTGCAGAGCGTAAGCCGGAGGAGCAGTAGGTCAGATGGAGGGTGCAGGCAGCGATGCTGAAGAGGTTTGGCAGAGGGCAGACTGAGGTGCCCACCGTGGTGGTCAGGGCCAGATGGAGAAAATGAGCAGAGGGGTGTTTGTGGGTGCAGGCAGCGCTGATGTGGCTTTTGGTGGAAATGGCCTAGAAAGCAGAGGGTCCTGTACGCTTTGGAAGTAGAGCAGAATGGTCCCTCTCCTGTGACTCAGCCTGAAGCAGGTTTCTGTGCCACCCCTGTCAGGCTCCACTGCCCCGCTTCCTGCTTCTCCCCAGTGGTCCCTGGGCAGCCTCTTGAACTCTTATATCTTTTGTCCCTGACAATGACAGCACCAATTTCTACTAGGCCCCTCCTGCAGGGGCTCTTCTTGTTGGGCTGGCTGCCCTACTTTCTGCTCAGGATGAAGCTGCATTGTTTTTCTGGTCTAATGGGGTGGGGGTGGGAGGACAAAGGAGAGGCTGGTGGGAAAGGCTGCCCTGGCCTGGTGGAGACACTCACCAGGTAGAGACCTGGACCAGATGCTTTGTTCTTGAGAGTGGCCCAGTTATGCATGCAGTAGGTGGATGGATGACTGGCCATCTGATGGTCTCTCCGTATGTCAACTCCCCTGGGCTGACCTCCAGAGTGACAGGAAGCATGTGGTGGGCAGGCTGGAGCCATAGATAACCTGTCCTAGTTTGTCACTGTGATAAACACCATGACCAAAAGCAACCTGGGAAGGAAGGGATATACTTGGCTTAAGCGTCACAATCCATCATTGATGGAAGGCAAGGCTGGAAATTGAGGCAGGAACTGAAGGAGACTACAGAGAAGCACTCCTCTCTGCCTTGCTTTTAGCTGCCTTTCTTACACAAGCCGGGACCACCACCTACCCAGGGGGGGCACTGCCCTCGGCGAGCTCTCCCACATGAATCATTAATCAAGAAAAGGCCCCTCAGACACACCCACGAGCCAGTCTCATGGAGACATTTTCTTAGTTAAGGTTCCCTCTTCCCAGGTGACTCTAGTTTGTGACAAGCTAACAAAACAAATGCTGACCCCCAAGCATTCGGCCAACTCAAGGGAAAGAATGAGGCCTGGGGGATAAGAACGGTAGGTGGGGGCTAGGGGACAGAGTCAGGCAGATAGGGGAGTCCAGACACAGGTGGGAAGGGGCTCTGAAGGAGGGAGGAAGGCCCCAGGAGAGAGCTCTGCACAAAGCATGGGAAGGCTTCTTCTTTTCTTTTTTTCTTTTCTTTTCTTTTTTTTTTTTTTTGGCTTTCGAGACAGGGTTTCTCTGTGTAGCCCAGGCTGTCCTGGAACTCACTCTGTAGACCAGGCTGGCCTTGAACTCAGAAATCTGCCTGCCTCTGCCTCCCGAGTGCTGGGATTAAAGGCGTGTGCCACCCCATTGCCCATGGGAAGGCTTCTAAAGAGAGGGACAGGTAGACACAGAGGCCTCTCCTAGGGAGAAGGGGGAGGAGACCAGTGTGCTGGGGCTCAGAAGAGGAGGACCAAACTGAGAATGTCTCCGTGCCTAGCTCACTTGTGGAGCTCACGAAAAGCTCCAAGCCTGGATGCTGTGAGCTAAGATCCCACTGCTAACTGGGAGCCTCCTGGGGCGCCTCGCCTGTGGATCCTTCAAGGCTAGGGTTTCCTTCAGTCATCGTGTGGCCACGTGACCCTCACACCCTGTCTCATCCCCAGGTGACTACTTTGGGATCCTCAAGGAGTCCAGAGTGAGCTCGTTCCCCTTCAGCGTGCTGGACAACCCCATGTACTGGGGGAGCACAGCCAACTACCTAGGCTGGGCGCTTATGTGAGTACTTGCTGCCCTCAGGACCCCTAGGTGTCTAGACACAAACTGAGCCCTCTCCCTGAAGCCTCCTGATTCCAGCACCCTTTGTTCCTCTGCCATGCCTTATGCATGTTGCTCCTTTGACTGGAATATGCCAGAATCCATCTCTAGTCTTCTTCCAAACCCAACTGGTGGTGTTCCCTCCTCTAAACTCCTTCCTGCCTCCTCTGGGTTTCCCGTGCCCTGAGTCAATGATCAGTGGCCTGCCTGTCAGTCTCCTCTCTTACGGCAGAGCCATATACATGACCCTTTATATCACCAGTAGTGCCTGGTGCCCAAGAGTAAAGGTCATTCCAAGCTTGGAGTGACCAGGTCAGGTCTCCCAGGAACACATGACACCTACCAGCTGCCTCGAAACAATATTGATGTGCAGGGGCTCAGCAGACTGAGGATGGGGCTGTCGTCTGAGGGCTAATTAGAGATGGATCATTACATGGCAGGAGACGCTGACTCAGCAGGCCTCCCCCAGCCTGCCTGTCTCCTGCTTCTCAAGTCCTACTCCCAGATAGGAGTCCTGAGCAGACAGAGGAAGAGGCCCTGGGCCCTGCTCTCTCCAGCCTACAAGAAGGAGTTGGGGTGCTCTGGGCTCCTTGATCTTGTCTCAGTGCGATCATCTGCCGGTGGGGCTGTCTTGTGACTCCTGGGTTGTTAGGAAGTCAAGCTGGACCAAGGTGACAATAAGTGGCCAGGTTTCCATGGAGATGGGCGAGTGTAAGGAGCCAGCTAACAGGACTTTTCATGCCCACATCACCACCTCCCAGCAGGTCTTTGAACTTGCACTGACCATGGCCCAGCACTGCTGGATGAGGCAGGAGGAGGGGGTGTTTGCCCATAGCACCTAACCCCTGCTGGAGAGCTGGCTGCCCAGAGCAGTTGGGACCACTCTCACCCACCCCAGCATCTTGGATCTAGCGAGGGGAAGTTTTGTCAGGCCCTCCCACAGCCTTTTGCTGGAGCCACCTGAGTGGCTGTTGTAGGCAATTGAAGCCCTGCTTCATTTAGGAATCATGACAGAAGGTACAGGCCAGTGAGTCCATCCTTTCCCATGAGCGGTGGGGAAACTGAGGTTGGAGACTGTGCTCACCTCAGGCCAAACAGTGCATCTGGGGCAGAGATGGTCTTGGTACTTAAGTTCCTGGCTCCCAAGGCATAGTCCTCCAGCTTTGCTAACTTTTTGTGTGGTAGTGAGCTGTGGGGTCACGCTCACAGCCAGCAAGGTGTCGAGGGCTCTCCCTAAGCAGTGAGGTTTCATTAACCAGCCATCTTCCAGGGTCTTTCCTGACCCCCATGTGGCCAGAACCACAGCTGAACTGTGTCTGGGAACAGGGTGCTTATTTAGCCTCCCATCCCAGGTGGATGGGAGGACGTCATGGCCATAGGCCCTCTGAGGCCAGGACACAGACATCAAGAGCTGTTCCAAGTTCAAAGTTGAAAGGGACAGCAAGGACAAAGGACTGATTTAGAGCCCAGCTACGCTCTGGGGAAGGCACAAGCCGAGAGCTGAGAGAGCTGAGGAGAAGTTCCACGCAAGGCCTGCGCAGTGGCAGAGGTGGGGGCCAGACCGTAAGGGAGGATGAGCCTCGTGATCTGGGACACAGGCTGCGCAGTGGAGGGGGCCTGTGTCCCTGTCCCTCCCTGATAGACACATGGGCAGACTGGCCAATGTGAGGTCCAGGTGGGCATTACGGAGTGAGCAAGGTGGAGGGCCCCTATCGGAGCCAGACATTCTTGTGCCCTTTGGTGGCAAGCTGTGTAATGGGGTCAGTCAAGGAGAGCAGATCCTGTGGTTACCTGAGACCTGTTTCTGTCCCTTCTGGTTCATTCCTTTCCTGCTGAGGTGGATGCAGCAGTCCAGGCCCTGCAGGAGCCAGAGGAGCCAGAGGAGCCAGAGGTAACCATAGAAATAGACTGGGGGACAGCTAAGCAGAAGCTATTTCTGGAAACCTGAGGCAGACATGCTTGGGTTCCTCCCCGCTGTCACTAACAGGCTGTCTGTATTCATTGGCAGAGTGAGGTCAGAGACCAGTCACCTGCAGAGAGCTATGACAGAAACGCTGTGTGTATTCTGCAAGGACTCCTGTCTCTGGGCTAGGATGCTGGAAGTTCAGCTCAGGGCCTGGGGTAGCAGAGTGCAGTCCAGGTAGCTGGACCACAAGGGTGGGTGGGTCTTGTGTCCTGTGCCCCTGCCCTCCCGGACAGACACATGGGCATACTGGCTAGTGTGAGGTCCAGGTTCGTGTTAGGGAGTGAGTGTGACAAGGGCCAGCGTGAGACTGCTGGCTTAGAGAGGAAGGCTCTGTTATGGGAAGAAGATCTTTCCCATACCCGAGGCCAGCCCAGATAGTGGCTACTGGCTGCACCTCTATATGGGCCAGAGCTCAGGTGGCAAAACCTGCCCAAGAGGCCATGTGCTCATGGCAGCCCTGGGTTGGCTTTTTTACAAGAGACTTATTTCCTAAGAACACTGTCTGGTGGGCAGTAGAAATGTTCCCTGTCCCCAAGTCCCGGTCTCAGCAGACAAAGAAGCATGGAGTACCTCACAAGGTTCCTTCCTCCCCTCCTGTCTCCCTGTGGCTCTCTAGAAAACCAGAGCTAGGAAGGGAACCACCAGGCTTAGCTCACCCACCAGAGGATTTCCAGCATGCACAAGGACCACACATTATTTTGGCAGGAGTGGCTAAGTCTTTGTAACTGATGGTATGTCTTTCTGCAGGCACGCCAGTCCCACAGGCCTGCTGTTGACGGTGCTGGTGGCACTTGTCTACGTGGTTGCTCTCCTGTATGAAGAGTGAGTAGACATGTGGTGGGGTAGATGTGACAGGTGAGTTAGACCAAGCCGCTCACTCAGAACTGCTTCATGTGGTCTGGCAAGCTTCACCAGGCCTGAGAGGCTGGGAGTGGGGAGGGTACACCTGGCATCTGAGACCTATGCAGGCAAGGAGGTGGCCCCAGTCCCTCCAGGACCCTCTTTGCTCTTCAAAGCCTCTAGGTAAGCTCTGAGGACAGTGGGAATGTGGGTCCTATCACTGGGGGAGCAGGTTCTGGTGGTGGGGTACAGCAGTTTCCTGAAACAACCTACTGGAACATTCCTCTGCCCACAGGCCCTTCACTGCTGAAATCTACCGACAGAAAGCCTCCAGGTTGCACAAAAGGAGCTGACAGGGCCATGAGGGATCTTTGCAAAGCCGAACTGGCCTCCCGGCTGCCCCAAGCAACAACCCTTCTTGCGGAGAGCAGCACTGGCCACTGTACCTGTGCCTTGGAAACCAGTCATGGGGGCCTCAGGCATTCTGCTGTGTGACTGCTGAGGCCCCCATCCCCACCATGCCCCAACACACTAATAAAGGCATTGTGACCTCAGCACCACTCTGGTCCCCTTCCTATCCTGGTCCCAGGAGTGGGGTCAGACATGAGCTCGAGGCTGTGGGAGGGCTGGGCAGGGCAAAAGACTACATCCCTTGAGGGCTCCTGTGCTGGATTGGTTTGGCCCTTTCTTTCCAGTGCAGCCTCTGGTGCTGTCTAGGATTCACAGAGATCTGTCTCAGAAGACCTCAGCAATAGAACTGGCTGCAGCTACAACCTTTCCTAGGCGTCAGACACTGTGGTCACCTGCCATCCATGCCCCCGCACTCCCAGGACATGCCCTCGATGCCCAGAACCCAGTTCAACATCCACCAACCTGAGGGTGGAGGTGTTGTCATAGGTGATTAGTGTTACTCACATCTCCTTGGGTAGCACGGTCCTCAGTATACCCATCCGCAGGCTCCTGGACCATGATTCCCAACTCTTACATGTTGGCTGTCTCTCTGGCCTGCACTTCTCAGGCCTGGTCCTTCTCCTTTCCCATCATGGCAGTTCTTGATCCTCCTTCCTTTCTTGGTCCCCTTGGCCAAGAATCCTAAAGTCCTGTCTCCCTGCCCAGCCATTGGCCATCAGCAACTTTATTTACCAATCAAAGCCAGCCAGGGACAGGGACCCTCAGCATCTTACATGTGGATTCTCATACAATTTTGGGAACCCAGTTAACATAATACAAGTGTTAGATCAAATCCACAACACGTAGGCCTATCAAATTAAGTAGTCCTTACATTCCACCAAGCTTGTCGTGGACACCCCCCACCTTTATCTGAGCTGGGTAGAATAGAATCTGCTGGAGAGACTATGTGTGTGTAGCTGAGCTTCTGCTACTGTGTGGGTTCTTCTTGCACCCTTCTCCACCCTTTTTCTTCTATCCTTTCAACCTCCTAACTCTAGATGAGGGGGAAAAATGATAGGAAAGAAAGGGGACCCCTGAATAAAGCCAGGGGCTTGAAAGGGGGCAGTGTTATCCTTAGACCACTTCCCTCTGATTAGGGGCATCGAGTTCTTTTTTTTTTTTTTCTGGCTCTTTAAATGTTTTAATGATGACATGCAGATATTCACATCAGAATACACAGTAGGGATCCAAGAATATCTTGAAGGATCTAACAAAGTTAAAACTCATGTCAGGCCAAAAACAAAAAACAAAAAACAAAAAACTCATGTCAGAACCAAACACTGGCCAGCCACAGCTTGTGTCCAGGTGGGACTCACAATGACTGGAAACTGGCTTTACTTCTTCGAACCCTGGTCTAGTTCCAGGACCTCCATGCCTTCCTCCAGCTTGAGCATGCCTCTTTCCTGGCGCAGGCGGCACCTCTCAGCCATGGACTGAAGCATCCATTTAGTCCGAAACTTCTTGTCTTCAGAGCCGTAAATTAAGATCTCGGTAAGATCAGAAGATTCCAGAGTCTTGAGCTCAAACATGACCCGGCCCACCTGCTCGAAGTGAGGCATTCGAGATCCCTGTGGGCCGAACAGAGAGTTTAGCACCAGCTTGTTGACTTGCAATACTTCTGGCTTTTCCAGGTCTGTAAGAATTTTCACCCGTGGGGGGGATATCTTTACGAGTCACATGAGTTTTCATCTTAATTCCTGACAAGGAACCTGTTTCTAGGGAAGACTAGGTCAGGTTTAACCTCGATGGCCCAAAGCTCCTGGGGCATCAAGTTCTTTGGAGCAAGTTTGATCTTCACCATCAGGATATCTGATTTCTTCTTCTTTCTTCTTTGCACGTGACTACTTAACAAACAGCAACCAACAACCCACCAAACCCACCTATTGGGGCTCTAGCATTTATATACCCTCTGAAAAGTCTCCCAGAATTCTAAACGTCACACAGTCGCAAAAACTATCTGCAGCTGGCAAACTCACACCCCTGCTAGAGCACGAGACACATCATAGTCAGCTGCTGTGGACAATCTGAAGCAGACTGTCCAACCCATACCTGGGATTAAAACAAAAACACATTCTTATATTTCTGTGTTTTTAAAAAAAAATTCCAGCCGGGCGGTGGTGGTGCATGCCTTTAATCCCAGCACTTGGGAGGCAGAGGCAGGTGGATTTCTGAGTTCGAGGCCAGCCTGGTCTACAGAGTGAGTTCCAGGACAGCCAGGGATATACAGAGAAACCCTGTCTTGAAAAACCAAAAATAAATAAATAAATAAATAAATAAATAAATAATAAAAAAATAAAAAATAAATTCCAGAATTCTCACTACAGGGATGTGTAGGCAGAACACAAGTGACCGAGAAGGTGGGGTCTCAAGTGATTGAGAAGGTGGGGTCTCAAGTGACTGAGAAGGTGGGGTATCAAGTGACTGAGAAGGTGGGGTATCAAGTGATTGAGAAGGTGGGGTCTCAAGTGACTGAGAAGGTGGGGTCTCAAGTTGACACTCATCAGAGTGTCATCAGAGGGAGCCGAAGAACAGCCTTCCTCTGCTCTTTGTCACTGTGTGGCCATTAGCAGCTAGGGCCAGCCTGACCTCCAGGACTCCAGGCTTCTGATAGATGGCTTAGGGATACCTAAGCTTGCTGGACTTTAGGATGATTGTCCCAGCTCATCAGAGACCCTCATCTCTTTAGTCTCAGCTGAGTTCCTTTGCCAGGGTGCCTCACTAGCCCAGAAAACCTTGTGATTTGGGTATCCAGAGGATCCGCCTATGCCTATTCCAGCCCTGGGCTATCCAGTCCTGGGGGCTCATGAGACAGCATCTATGGCTGCTGGCCTCTCCTGACATCCTGTTATTGTCACCTAGGACCCTGGCCAAGGCTTGCATGGGCTTTTACAAGTGCCCCAGGCTTACCATCTCACTGTGCACAAGTCTCCGCCTCACGTTTCCAGGCCCTCTGGGTTCCCACTCCCAGCCCCAGGCCAGAACATCTGTTGGAGTCTCCAGTTGGGCAGACAAGAACCACATCTTTTATTAGTGTGGCCTCAGAGCCTTATTGCCCTGGGCCCTTGACAGAGTCTAGGGCTGTCATCCCGAGCCCTGCCCCTCCCTCATACCCTGTCTTGGGCAAAAAGACCATGGAAGCAAGCAGACTTTACCTGTTTCCTCACTGTAGATAATACCATGTATGTCTTATCTTGAAACTCAGGCAGGTGTCCTGGTAAGGCTGGGCCAGAGAAACATTGGTACCCTTGGCACTAAATGGGGCAGAGATGCCCCCCTTTGCCATTGGTGTCCCCCTGTCCAGTCCTCTGCACCAAGAGAGGCTTGGCTCTATCACTGGCATCCCTGCATGTACCTATTGGCTCAGTTGCCAGGCTGTGGGTATGGGCAGAGTGGGGAGGCAGCCCCAGCTCCCTGACAGCTGGGTGGAGGCAACAGCCAAGGCAGACATGGAGACCATGTGATTTCAGAGGGGAGAAGAGGCTGCAGAGGGCTCTGGGGAGAGGAATGAGACCTAAATATTTTTCTGAGGACCACAGACCATGAGTGTCCTCTTCATACACCAAGCAGGACTGGGCACATGTGTCTGAATCCCAGGTGTCAGTTGGAATCCAGCAGGAGACAGGGATGGGATGGAACACACCGGGAGGCTCAAAAGTCTGAAGTGGGCTGGTTGCCAGAGAGCTGGGGCTGCCTCCTGATTAGTGGCTGTGTTGCTTCGAATCCAGATGAAGCCAGTGCATAGTGTTGGGAGACATAATAGGGCAAGCTGCTCACCCGATGGCCAAGAGGTAAAGAGTAAACGAGAAAGGGGTTGGGGCTCTACAACCACATTTAAAGTTACCCTCACAATAGCCTAAAGACTACCCAGCAGGCGCCACTTGTTAAAGGTCTGCCACCTCCCAAGAGCACCCTTTGGGGACCCAGACTTTGAATCGCCAGACTCTAGCAAGTGTCCATAGTTGGTGAGGTCCTTGCTGGTGGAGACCTAATGCCTTGCATGATGAGACCGCACATCCTGGCTCACCTCTCTGCTGCTCTTCTAATGAAGCCCACTAGACTGCAGTCCTACTCTGCGCCCTGGCTTAACCATGATCACTCCCAGAGGGAGATCCCACTACCAGACTAGAAACCACAGGTGACTAAGTTTGTTCTCTGACAGTTTCCAGGGGGGCTTCAGATTCAGTGAGTGCTTTGATGGGGGTACTCAAGCCATAGCGGAGCCTTTCCTTCTTACTGCTGAACACTGCACTGTAGGTAGATGGTATCTTGTTTATCCATTCAGTGGGTGGACACTGGGTGGTTTTCACTTCGAGACGATTGTGACTAACACACCATTGTGAACACTTGTGTGTACCTCTTCTTTCCATTGCTTTGGGGTATGTGTTTAGGAATGTGACCTCTCAAGAGTTATTCATGGCGTCTCCATCACTTCACATCATCAGGACTGCACAGGAAGTGGAGTGGAGATAAGCTGTGGGCTTTTGCTGGCAGCAGTGGGCTTGGCCCCTGTGGGTAACATGGTGGTACCTGGTAACATGGTGGTACCTGGTGCCCTTCTCTGTGACCCAACTTCAAAGAACCTTCTGAATCCTCTTTGCTTCTGGATGGGGCTGTGGCTGGCATTTCTGGCTCACAGGCCCTTGTCTTCTGCTGGGCTCCCCTCAGCATTTGATCAGGTGGTAAGAGTTCTGAGCAGGAAACATGGCACTGTGACAAACCTGAGTGGTAAGACAGCTCCATAGTGGCTCCCAGAGTTTCTGGGAAAGGGATGCACATGCTGTCCCGTGGGGGGGGGGGTGGGGGCAGTGTCCTGAGGGCACAGATGGTAGTTGGGCTAATGTGGGACTGTATGCACTGCCTGTCTTCCAGACCCCGCAGTGTTCCTGCAACTGGAGACTCGGTAGCAGAGGCTGTGTGAAGGTGCCTGCAGGAGGGAGTCCACCTCACAGGGTATGGAGCTGGGTAAATGAACCTTGAAGGTGTCAGGAAACCACCACTATCTGCCAGTCACCTTGCATCTAGAAGGGACTGAGGTGTGATGTCAGACCCAGCCATCACACTGACCGTGGAAGGAGAGAAGGCCATGAATCTAAGCCGTGCCTTAGCCATCTGGATGTCTGTGGTAGAGCTGGACCGTCTCTTTGATCCTGCCATCCCTCTATTATTCCTTGGATCTTCCTGGACTGGAGACTCAGGGGAATAGTGACATTGGCTCTGCCCATCCTGAGTCAGGCCCTGGCCTTCCACACAATGCCTTCTGGGGGCAGAGGAATAGGGACTCAGTCTGGGGTGGGCAGCCATCGCTTGGCCCACTAAGAGGCCTCTTCCTGCAGTGAACGCTCTATGCTTCTTACTGAACACAGCAGTTCTTTGTTTGGTCGAGGCTCAGGTCCTCCTCACAGGTGAGGGCAGACACCCCAGATGGAGAAGGGAGGGGAGCAGCAGCAAGGGCAAGAAGCAAGAGTGGTGAGGGACTTACCCCAACTGGCCTGCCCTAGGTCTGGTTGATGAGTCCCGGTTACTCGATTGACATGGATGTAGAAGGGGGGGGGCAGTAAATATGGATATCCCGCTAGATTGAAATGGGCCAGACAACAGCAGCAGCCTCTGTAGTGGGTGCCGTTGTGGGGCACAGGCAGAGGGGAGGAAAGGACGACCGAGAGCCAGGTAGCCTGCTTACTAGGCTAGCAGCGTGCTTCCCAGTGCTTTACTTCCTCCAACTGTTAAATGCAGAGTGCTGCTTCTCTGTCTCCAGCGCTGTCTCCAGGGAGAGCATTATCACTTAGCACAGGGACCACCAAATCAATACACCTAGGTCTTGTGGGCCCCAGGCAGGATGCCTACTGCTGATCTAGACTGGGTTTCTTTTGAGATCCTGGGTCACAAGGAAGGGATGAAACCTTGGGAACACAGCACAAGCATCTCCATAGGTGGGAATATCTTAGCCCTACCTGTGGGACACCAAGACTGCCTGGATGGGCGAGTGGCATTTGTCAGCCGGTGGGTCTCTGGGCCTCTCCTAAATCAGTCAAGGTCAAAGCAGAATAAAAGCAAAGCTAGACGTTGTCATCAGTTACAAGCAGTAGACACGTCCTATTTCTCCTCCAGCATTACTCAGTCCTGGTTACTGATCAACCTGTCACTGGTTTCCTCCTTTGGGCAGCCTCCCTGATATGATCCTTTTATTGTTCCGACCAGGCCCTGGTCTTGGAAAGTGTTTGCACTTATTCTTTCACAGTCAAGGAACCGGTGTCATCCTCCAGAAAGGGAAACTGAGCTACAGAGAGGTTGCGCTCCCAGGCCTCCTCTGAGATCACCGACCCCAGTCTGCTCCCTCAATGCAAAATGATGATGATTGGCCCACGAGAAGGAAAAGTCCAGAAAGCTATAGGAGACTGTAGGGGACGCTGTCCTGTTTTGCATTTTTTTAAAGGGCTTGTCTCTAAAGTCAGGAACAGACTCTCCTTTACTGAGGTCCCCACCGACCAGATTATCTCTAGTTGGGAGAATAGAGCAAAGGAATGGAAGGCCATGACAAAACCCCTAGTCTGACTCCCCAGCCAGCCTCCTGCCCGTCTCGGGAGTGGCCACAACCTTAGGAATCCCTGTGTCCGTGGGGCTCCCTGCTTCCCTCTGGTGGCGAAAGCGCAAAGCGCGGAACACTGGACACTGAGTCCAGAAGAGCACCACCGGCGGGGGGTGGGGGTGGGGGTGGGGGTGTGTTATGGGGATGGCGCTGGGGCAAATGGGCAGCAAACTTGTTGCTATCACCAGGTCACATTTTTGGGGTAACTGAGGTTCAAGAAAAGTGAGCGTCTGTGCACTAGTGTTGAGAGAATGGGGATCCCAGAGGTAAGTGAGTCAATAGCACAGCAAGGACCTCTGCGGCCAAAGCAGTGGGAAGCGCCAGATCCTCGCGTGGCGGTAGTTTGGACTTGTTTTCTTTCCAGCGCACGTAGGTCTGGAGCGGAGCCTCGGGCTCCAAGGCGGAGGTCGCTGCGTCTAGGAGGAGCCGGGAGCGTCCGGGGGCGGGACGTGACGCACCTTGGCTGGGAGGTGCCAGCCCGGGCTTCGGCCAGCTGCATATAAGAGCGGTGTGGGGCGCGGAAAACCAGAGCCCGCTGTCTGTACTCAAGAGCCCAGAGCAGCTCTTGCGGTCCCGAGGCCAAGCTCTTCCGCCACTCCGGAGTTCTCTGCAGCCCTCTACCTTCTCTCGGCCACGCATTCGCCCCCGGGGCCCCTCTGCCCAATGAAACTGGCCGCGATGATCAAGAAGATGTGCCCGAGCGACTCTGAACTGAGTATCCCGGCCAAGAACTGCTACAGGATGGTCATCCTTGGCTCATCCAAAGTGGGCAAGACGGCCATCGTGTCGCGCTTCCTCACGGGCCGCTTCGAGGACGCTTACACCCCTACCATCGAGGACTTCCACCGAAAGTTTTACTCGATCCGCGGCGAAGTCTACCAGTTGGACATACTGGACACATCCGGCAATCATCCGTTTCCCGCCATGAGGCGCCTCTCTATCCTCACAGGTGAGTGGGGTGCCGACGGGGACCGTGGGGCCGGAGTCTTGCGGGGAGCGGATGGGCTGGTGTGTCGTGCTTGGGGCCGCGCCTCCGTGCCTGGCAGCTGCCCTCACCTTTCCCTCTCGTTCCTCTGTAGGAGACGTTTTCATTCTGGTGTTCAGTTTAGACAACCGCGACTCATTTGAGGAGGTGCAAAGGCTCAAACAGCAGATTCTAGACACCAAGTCCTGTCTCAAGAACAAAACCAAAGAGAATGTGGACGTCCCGCTGGTCATTTGCGGTAACAAAGGGGACCGGGACTTCTACCGCGAAGTAGAGCAGCGGGAGATTGAGCAGCTGGTGGGTGACGACCCTCAGCGTTGTGCCTACTTCGAGATCTCGGCCAAGAAGAACAGTAGCCTAGATCAGATGTTCCGTGCGCTCTTTGCCATGGCCAAGCTGCCTAGTGAAATGAGCCCCGACTTGCACCGCAAGGTGTCTGTGCAGTATTGCGACGTACTGCACAAAAAGGCTCTGAGGAACAAGAAGCTACTGCGTGCGGGCAGCGGAGGCGGGGGCGACCATGGCGATGCCTTTGGCATCTTGGCGCCCTTTGCTCGCAGACCCAGCGTGCACAGCGACCTCATGTACATTCGTGAAAAAACCAGTGTCGGCAGCCAGGCTAAGGACAAGGAGCGCTGTGTCATCAGTTAGGAGCCCCCAGGGTCAGCCACAAAACCTGAGGACCCTTTTTGTTCAAAAGTCAAATCGGATTCCCGGGCTTGCCTGCGCGTTCTGTGCCACAGGAGCTCCAATTGGCCTCCTCCCTCTCTCCCTCCCTTTCTGAGACCCAGCCCTGTGCACCAGGGAGACGCTGCCAAGCCAGTAAGGGACAGTCATCTGCTGTGAAAGGAAAGAGAACTAGCTAAGATTGGGACTTTTGCCTCCGATTCTGGGATGCCAGGACCCAGCAGAGGGGTACTTGGCATTTTTCTCAGAGACTTGAGAGAGTGTGTGAAGTTCACCAGCCTGTGAGACTTCAAGTAACTGTCCTGCTTTCTTTCAGGGACAGGACTAACAGGGCATTATCTTGTCTGTGATTGGTGTTGCCATGACCGCTGTCAGCCACCTCTGTCATCAGCAAACTGGAAACTTTGGCTCGAGGTGGGGGGTTCAATCATAGCCAAGCGACTTGTTTACATGTGTGTGTGCAATTACCCAAAAGAAAAACAAAACACAAAACTTGCACTTTAATAGTTCCATTGTCAATGTGTCATGAACAAAATCTCTACATTTCTATTGCGTGAGGTCTTTATTATTTTTTTTAATTTAAAATAAAATAATTAAAAAATGGAAAATGGTGCTTTGCTTTTATGCTTCCTGCCTCAGTGTCAGTGGCCAAGAACTGGAGAGGGACCTGGCTTTCAGAAAATGGTCTCACCCTTCCAAGAGGGCATGCTCTAACTTCTGGCTTTCTGTCTACCCTCTGCCTAGCCTGGCCTGTAACAGGGGGCTTTGTTTTGGAGACTATTCATACTCTCCTCCACACAGCCCATCTGTTAATCATGGCAGGTGACAGGAAGCTGTCATACTTGAAACTCTCTGATTACAACTAAGGAGGTGAGCTGGAGAGGTGTGTGGAAGATGGCTGCCCTGGATGTTTATCCCTTGCCCCAGGGTTGCCCCAGGACCTAGACAGGGAAAGTAGAAAGCTCTTAAGGCAGGTCCCAGAAGCACTCAAGCGGGTGGGCCCGTCTCCTCTGCACTTGCCTACTTCCTGTGGCTAAGGGCTCATAATTTGTGACCTGGATCTCCTTGCCACTCCTACTGTCAACTTAGGGCAAGTGTCACCTTCTAATCCTCCAATTCTGCTGCTGACAAACAGAGGCACTCTGTGCAGGGGTCAACTTGGTCTCTAAGGAGTCAGCACAACTGTTGTAGCCACTGAGCCAATACTTGGCTTTTCAAGAGGGTCTTGACCTTCAAGGGATGCTCAAAATTGTCCTGGGGGGCAGGGGTCTTGTCAACCCTGCTTTGGGAAGGATCATTTCCAAGGAACTGCATCTCCTCAAATCTCAGAAAGGCCCTCACTTTTCAACAATGAATGGCTGGCCTCCCCAGGGCCCGCTGCAGGAGACATGTAGGCTTCTGTGCTAGTTTACCAGATACACATGCTGGGTGGAAGGAGGAGCATGGTGACCATTTTCCTCTGCACCACTTACTCAACATACCATTCTAATGCTTCATTATAAAGACCTGCAATTCCAGGGTCTGACTCCTAGCACTGAGAGAGACAGAGACAACAGGGAAACCATGTGTCCTGAGAGCAGAACATACTTTTAATTATGTATTTGAAAATGTGACAGGTCAACACACTGGAACAGAGAAAGCCTCTAAGCCTCCAGCTCTTTGAGGAAGCCTTTCTTCCCTGTCGGGAAGATCTGAAGCTCCTGCATTCCATGTGCTCTGTGCTTACAGGAACGGTCAGAGCCTTAAAACTGGCCCAGCCACAGCTTCAACTTTGCAGAAAGTAACTGATTCAGTTAAATAACGGTCCCAAGCAGAGGTAGCTTAATTGGCACCCTCTACTCAAACTCAGCCCACTTTTCTGCCCAAACCACTGGAAGTCAAAACCCTCTTTCACACATTCTGGGTCCCAGTGTGAAGTGTCCTGGATAGACAACGCACCAGAACACTTGCTAAACACATCCCCAGCCAGCGCTCCTGCCAACAAAGCCAGTTGGCAGGCACCTGCTAAGTCCTAAGTTGGTCAGCCCAGGCTGTGCCCATTTTAAGATCCAAACAATACTGGGTACTTCTCACCTTCCTCCTGAGAGAAGTAAAGAGCCATGGTGCCCTCAATGTAACAGTGCCTGGGAGACAGGGAACACAGTGTCCTACCTGGGACTCGCTGGGCACACTCAACACAGCTATGGCACCTCCAGACTTAGCTCCCCATACCCTTCAAACCACACCTACCCCTGGCTGAGAAACTGGCCTAATTGCTCCTGCCAGCCACTCTGCTCCAAACCAGAAGCGTGCCGGGACCGTGTGCAGGGTAGCAAATGTGACTGACTCCTTGGCTAGAGGGGAGATGACAGGTAAGCCAAGGCATATGAATCAGGGTAGAGCCACTTGCTTAACAGCCTCCTTGAGCCAGCGTGGGAAGGACAAAGGGCCCCAGGCAAGCAGTGCTTTGGCTATTCTGAGCACTGCCCGAAGTGATGGAGATAAAGGGAGATACTGCTAACATGCAGGAGGCTGGAAACTGGAGTTGGTGGTTGGTTCGCAGAGCTCTGGGCTGACGCCCCCAGCAATATAGTTTCATTCAGTAGTTCAAACAAAAAAGGAAGTGAACTGTTTTCAAGCAGAAGCCACCCACCCTCTGGCCTTTCAAAACAATGTTCATACTCTCACAGCCTTCTTTAATTATAATAAATCCATGCCATCTGAGTGCAGGCCTAATTTACCCCAAGAATTCTATGCAAATGCTTCATGAAACTGCTGTTAATGGGAACAGTATGTACCTGATACTGTGCTGATGGTATCGGGAGTGGGAGGAGCTGAGGGAAAGAAGGGAACAGCTACTTCCTCTCCCTCTGTGCCCTGTAGATCTGCTGATGGAGCCCAGGGCACACATAGTCAAGGCTGAGTACAGCCACTGAGGCACCACACCAGCCACATGTGCCCTCAGTTTAGAACTGGGCTCCCAAGGAGCTGGACAGCACAGGTGAAGCTTTCAGTCTGTTGGCAGCTTTCCTGGGAGCTGGCACTACTCCTTGGGTATCTCAAACATGCAGAGGCTCTTGTACTTCTGCAGAAGCTCGTTCTTGGTCCTGACTTGCTCTCGGAGGCTGTGTAGCTGCTGCTGCTGCTGCTCAGGGCTCACGTGGATGCCAGGCATGGTGCCTATGAGCTTCCGCATCTCCTGGAACTTTGTTTTGAGGGCGTTCAGGTCCTGGTGGAGATCTGGGCTGTCCTTGTCCATGCTGGGTCAGAGGGGGAGTAGAAGGCAGTCAGTTATTAGCATGTGTAGCTCATCTCCACAATGGCTTCCTTGTTCTACACCCTCTGATACCTTTTAGAATGTTGTTAGATATGTCTGTCCCCTGACTAGGTTGCCTTCCCCAGAAGACAGGAATTCATCTTTTATTTGTTTTGTTCTTTAGCTTTAAGCTCATAAAAACACTCCCGACTAGCACACTTGACAAGTCAGATACTTAAACTCTCTGTGATGGCAGGGACCAAGTTGGCTTCATCACAGCTGTCTCACCAACCTGGCCCTACATATAGGACACTACACTCAAGAAACACCTGGGGATCAAGAACACTTCCACAAGTATGACATCCTGAGTTTGGAGCTCCACCACCCATGTGAAAGCAGGGGCACGCATGCCTATAAACCCAGCTCAGGCTTGGGGTGAGATGGGGGTGTAGAAACAGGCAGACCTCAGAAGGTGAAACAGCAAGTCTCAGGTTCTATACAAGGGAACACAGGGAAGTGTGATAAAACTGGGCACCACAAGTGCCCGCCTCTGCCTCCCCCACCACTCACATGTGTGCACACACCACATACACAAACCCACTAACATTTCCAAAACACTACTTGCCAAAAGAATGAATGCTTGGAAAGCAAGGCTCAGCTGTGCTAAATGAGTCACCATCACCAATCATCAGGTGACCCTTCCAAAGCCAAAGAAAAACAAACTCATTGAAACACTCATTTCACCTGACCTGAGCCATCTGTAGGCTAACCAGGAGGCTTTGCCAGTTAGCAGGGCCTTCGTTTCACTGAACTGTGGCACTTGCTTAGGTCTGTTAACATAAAGACAAACTCTCATAAAGCTAGTTATGCACTTTAAACCAGCTACAAGCTACTGGACCATTCTCAGCAGACACAGGCTCTCCTCCACCACATCTCTGAAGATGCCTTCCTCTGGATTGAGGTCATTTTGAAGGCAGATCACCCCTATCCTCTCACAGTCCTGGCATGGCAGAGATCCCCACTCTTGCTATCAAACTAAAGCAAAAGAACCATAACCCTAGGAACATAGGCACTGCCCCAAGGCCAGGAAACAGAGGAGCTTTGGAACCAGTTCCTGCTTAGTGTGCAGACAGTGAGGACCACCACTGAGCTGCTGTCAGAATTTAAAGTACACTTTTAACAAAACTGGTTTACATCACAAGTCTAGAAAGATACAATAAAAACAAACAAACAAAAAAACCTCACAAAATTAAGACGGGGAAGGAGGTTTATAGTAATAATAATTCCTGAAGTAAACATAACCCAGCCCAAAAGAATTCTAACTCAGAAAGCAAAGTGTGGGCCATGTTTCAGATGTTCACTTCTGAAACTCTCCACACTCCAGATACCCATTCTTTACAGGGTGAACTTTGGAGAAAGGGGGTAGCCTTCAGACAAGAACAGAACCCATAGGGAGGGGAGCTGGGCTGCAGACCTCTGCAGTGAGCCATTCACCTGCCCTAGTTGGTGGTGGTAAAGAGCATAGAAGTCTGGGGTGAAGAAAGCATCTATTCAGGAACCTGATTGAACCAAGAGGGAACCTGTTATGCCAGGATGACTGTGAAACAGTGAAATCCCCAGGCCTAAAGAACAGGGTCAGACTTGATAGTGAAGGAATAAAAGCAGAAAGCTCTAAATGGGCCTGCCTTTGTGCTCAGTGTTAGTCACCATCCAACTTTAGAAGGGAGAGAGAGAGACTAGGTCAGGATCGATGGAAATCATACAAACAAGGACAAAGTTAGAGCATCGTGGTCCCTTCTACTGTGCTTTCTTAAAGAGTGGGCAGAAATACTATAGCCATGGGGGCAGGAAGAGCAGAGCATCCTCCGAGCAGCTAGCATAGGCATTTGGACATGTGTCCCAGGCTCTTGGATAAAAGGCTAGGAAAGATGGGTGCATTTAAGAACATGCCCTGGTTTTCCCCAATTTCTTTTTTGCACAGAAGCAAACTGGCAACAATGGGCAGTGTGTCCTCCAGCAATGCAAAAGCAGGGGAAGGCATGGGCCAGCAGGCCAGCCACTCCCCTCACCTCTGGTAACCTGGTCTGGGGGCCTGTATCTTTCTCTGTCAAATGTCCATCCTCCTCAGAAGCATGCACTCTCTGTCTGCTGACCACCCTGGCCTAGCACCCTCAGTCTCCTCTGTTCACAGCTTCTCCTCCACTACTGACTCCAGGGGCTTTCACTTTCCCCAGGGCAATTTTTCTCTTATTTAGTAGATGCTGGAGGGAAGAAATTCAAAGTGATAAATATGTTAAAAAAGGAAAGTCCTTTTAGTTCCAAGTCTCAGACACACTCGTGTTAGCATATGATGTAAACTGTTGTAGATCATTTCAAAATGTGCAATAACAGACAACCATATGTATACTTTTGTTATTCTGACAGAAGCATATCAAACGTGGCTCTCGTTCCTGTCTTTCTACATTAATATATATTTCATTACATTGTGAAATTATTTTACAAACGATTATCTGGAATGTTTGCAACTCATCAAAATGACAATGGACATTGTGTATCTGAATCTTTATATAACTGTGCGAGTATTCTGGAAAGATGTCATACCAGGAGAAATCTGGATTAAAGATTTTATATAATTTTTGACTGATACTGTCAGAATACCGTGAGCTAGGCACACAGACACCTATAATCCCAGTTTCTTGGGAGACTGAGGCAGGAAAAACAAGTTTGAGTCTAGGTAGCACACTAAGACCCCCATCCCAAACATAAACATACACTTCTGCAAAACTCCCAGATGCCTCCCTGACTGTGTCCGTGGCTCCTCCCTGTCTCGCAGTGGTCTGGTTTTCTCTGGAGTTCTGGCAGCACCCACCAGGTCTTTGGTCCAGTGGCTCTGGACCTCCCACACCAGCTTTCATCTGCCACAGGATTGCCTGTTTTCATTCTCTTCAAGTTATGGAAGGTTCTGCTACTTAAAGAAGTTTGGAAAAAAAACAACAACAACTGTTCTACAGCATGCCTTCAGGCTTGTTTGCTCACTCCCAGCAACTCCCACTCCCCCTTTCCTAAGTCTAGCTCCTCCTCCAGCATCAAGATTTTTCTCCCTGGAGTCTGAGGAGCCTGCAAGCATCCAGAGTGGAACAGCCATCTCTGTCTACATCCATGGAGGACAGCAGCCCCTACCCACTAAGGCTGCTCTCTCTGATTCTCCCAGCTATGTGTCCAGCTAATTCCCCCTCCCCCAGACTACTTCAGACAACCTATCCCACTGCTTCTCAGACACAGAGTCTTCTCCTCTTCCCAAGCCCTCTGTCCTATCCACCTTTAGAAATCCAAGTCTGAGCAGGTCACAATGCCTCTTAAGAACTATGGTGGCCCTCCACCCCAACATACCCACAGGACAAATTCAACTGTGAGAGGATGCAGGGGCCATTCCAAGTACTTTTAACTTTCACTTCCCAGGACCCCTTCCCTGGCAGCTTTTCTTTTACTGTATTTTCTGCTGGAAGGGAGGCTGCCCATGTCATGGAGGCCATCAGGACCTGGGTACTTCTACTGTGAGTCTGCAAAAACTGGCACAGAAGCAGACACAGAGAAGCAGCTCTTCTAAGCAGTTTTCAAACAGGTCCTAAAGGCACCTTTTCTGCTCCAGGACACAGCTGAGAGAGACAGTAGGCACAAGATGGACACAGGCCAGCAGAACTGCAAATCCCAAACATCATCTGTGGGGGTGCTTCCTACACAGCCCAGAAGGTCTCAGCTGGCGAGGAGCCTGTGTGTGGGATGAGGCAGGTCAGCAACGCCCTGTTCCCATAAAAGAGGTCTTGCTGACCTGCGCTGAGCAGGCGAGAGGGATGCTCAAGCTCCACACTTGAACTCCCTGTGCTGGGTCAACAAGGATGGCTCTCCTGTACGCACTAGTAACCTAAGACATCTGGTGAAAGGATGACAGTTAATGAAAACCACATTGCTTAAGTTCCCAAATCGACTACTAACTGGGTGGGCCAAAAAGTGGCAGACAAGCAGGGAGACAACAGGAATAGCTCACCTCAGGACTGGCAGGCTGGGACACTTAGTTCTAAACTCAGATGAGATAAGCTGAATTTCAAGGTCTTGCTTTACTCCTCCTTTCCAGTCTATGTCCCTTGTAGTTTCACTATATACACAAAGAGGCCCCAGAGAGAGGGATTGATAATAGTTCTTACAAGCATTTCCTCTCTCCATCCTTTCAAGCTTCATGTGGTGGCGCACACCTTTAATCTCATCACTTGAGACAGAGGCATTTCTCTATGGGTTCAAGCCCAGCCTAGTCTACATAGTAGTTCCAGGACAGCCAGGACTATATAGAGAGACCCTATCTCAAAACAACAAACAAACAAATATTAAAAATACATGAATGAAAAGCCTGTCAATTCTAGTATGGAAGTGAATCTAGGGCTTCATGATTGACAGGCAAACATTTAACCACTAAGTTACATCCCCAGTCTTCTTTCCAATTTCTCTTGCCCAGGTGGGCCTGGAACTCTGTCCTCTTCTCACTCCTGCCCAGTAGCTGGCTGTACAACCAGGCCTGACAAACTACATGTTCACATATCTGTTCATCAACTATGGGAGAGATGGAGGGAGGAAAGCTATTGTTTGGGCTCCAACTCTAAGCAGGGCTGTTTCAGCCACAGTCTCCAGGTATCAAGTGGCAACATAGGTTGCTGAAATGGAAATTTAAGGGTTCTTTGGAAAGTCGGTTGGATGGTGTTTTGCTGGGGCAAACACATGAAGGAAGGTTTAGCTGAAGTGGACATAGGTGAAAGACTAAGGCAGACTTGTGAAGAAACGTTTTGCTGAAGCAGACACACAAGAGAGGATGTTCTGCTAAAGCAAACATGTGAAAGGACACATGTTGAGAGATTCTTTGCTAACAAGCATGCCTAGTTGACCTCCATTTGTCTGGACGCCATAGAGAGAAACCCACCAAAAAACTTCTAGTAGTATGCTGCAGTTTCTTGTTGC